CTGGAGGTGGAGAAAGAGTCTCTCCACTCTAGGTTACAATATAATCAATCGTTTTGCACAAAAAAGAGCATAACAATGGCATGACTGTAAGATGTATGAACAAACTTGTTTACAGCAAATCTGCTTTTCCTGTCTCCAGTAATGTCAGCTGTCTATTCTACAGCTTTGTAGGTTTTCTTCCTTACAACAACAGGAAGTGATCAAACTAAAAAAAATGGCAAATTAATGCATTTATAAGCAGCTTGTAAGACAGAAAACCTGCAGGACTGTGGTAGCAGACATCCACTTTTAAGACATTAATATGTCACTGATTAGAATGCTGTAATTTTATAGATCACACTCCTAGCCATGTCTTTATATTAGCCAGAAGCATAGGAGTATTTAATAACAATAATAAAAACCATCTTAACTAATTAACATCATGTGTAACACCCAAAAGCTCCAGATTTTATTCTAGTTTTTACAAATACATGCTACTGTATATAAACAGGCTCAATAAAGACACAAAAAGCAAGCTTTATTAAGAACAATTACAGAATACTGCAAAAACCTAATGTATGAAATCCACACAATCACAGACAATCAGACAGGGAAAAGGATACAGAGGAAAAAATGACTATATATACACAATGTGGACAATTACGTAAGAAGACTTACTAAATAAGACAAAGGTGTAAGAAATCAACAGCAGGTGAAGACAATGATGGGAGTCTACTCATCCAACTCATCTAAAACAGCACACATTTCCCCAATATCAAACTATTCTTTCCACTCCGTTGTAGGTGCTTTTGTAGTCTCTGTTAACCCCTAACATTAGAGGTCTTCACAAACCCAAAAAGGCCTGACATGCAAATACAACGCACAGATGTCCCAAATAGACCCAAAGATCATTTGGATCCTCTCAGATGTTCTGTAAGCACAAACCTGAGATGGGCAGTAAAACAGGACTCCCACTTTCAGCAGTACTAGTAAGATTTGTGAAGATCTCTGTATGTTGGTGGTGCATTCCCATTCCCTGGTATAAACATTGGGACTTCCCTTCATAGTGCTGGTTAAACCTGTGCTGGATAACACAACACAACACAACAGTGACATCTACTCACACAAAGATAGATAGCAAGGGAATCAACCACAGTCCTTCCTCTGTTCACTTCACAGCTGTCCTCAAGTCACCTGAGCAACTCGGCCCACCTCGGTGCATCGGTCCCGTGTATCCCCGACTACGTGTACTCTCAGCTCTCCCCTTCCACGGTCAATTCGCCCGAAGGGAAGAAAATCCAACAGGACATCTACGCTATGTCTCAACGAGGTCAGAGAAACATACCAACACAAATATGTCATCTACTGGTAGACAAACGTTAATTTGAGCACATTTATCCTGCCACAGATACCTTCCTGTTCAACAGAAACTGTTGTTTAATGCTCCTTTAGTGCTCAACTCTCTGAAGTCGGTGCATGAGACTCTGTCCCAGGAGAGGCAGAAGCTGCAGGCAGTCTGGGACGCTAACAACATGCACCAGTCTAACACATTAGCTCAGGTTAGATTTGTCATCTGGACTCTCTGGCACACTTTATCCTGTTTGGTTTGTTTTATACTTGGTGGCTGATTTTCTTTGTTCATTCCTTTTTTTTCTTCCTCCGATACCAGCCTGAGGCAGTGAGGCGTTCATCCCAAGGACCTCCTTCGGTGGCAGACTCGGCTGCAGAATATTTTGATGCCAGCGATGACATCCTGTGGGGCAGCTCCTCTGAGGTGTCTGATGAATCCGGACTAAGCGACGGAAGCACCACCAATTCTGAGCCGGAGGAAGGACACAGTGGGTACACCAGTATCAGTGACCAGGGTTTAAAGTGTATAAAAAGTCAGTGGTTTTTTTTATATTCTAAAAAAAAAAAATAGCTTTAATGTACTTGCTGAATAGTTCTTTCTGTTTCTACTCTTTGATGTGAATATTGTACTAACTAAAACAACAATTCACACTATGTACAAACTCAAAACCACTGGCACTGATGCAGACTCTTATTCCTATTATTGCCTGAATAGAAACATCCAGCCGTACTTTTATTCTTGATAATAATAATATTATTTTCTTTAACCAACATTGCAGCATCAGCGACCCGGAAGTACCGTGCCAGCATTTCCAGGACTCCCAACACTGTTGTTCCCAAGAGCACTGGACGTCGAACAAAACTGCCTGTTCACTGTCCTGACAACAGCCACGTGGGGCTCGTGGCCATACTCTATAACAACATAGGTAAGAACCAGGAATCCAGACTTGAATTGATAAAACGCAAGAAAAGAGTCTTTGTGGCAGTTTTCAGAGCCCTCTGTTTTGTTTCTTCACAGGTAAAGACTTGGCTCGCGTGTCCATGCCAGCTGTTCTCAATGAGCCCATTAACCTGCTGCAGAGGCTGTGTGAAGAGCTGGAGTACAGTGAGCTGCTGGATACTGCCAACAACACATCAGACCCCTACCAGAGGATGGTAAGTCTGTCCACACTTAAAACGAGTTAACATGCCATAAGATATACGTCCAGCTCAATGTGTGTAGTAACAGATTAAAGGAAGTGCCTTAAAACTGCATTCTTTGTGATGGCCAGCAAGAGGCGGCTCTTCTGTTTGTAAAAAGACCTCTGCCTACATATCAGCCTATAAAAAACAGCCCTCAGCTTTCTCACACTGTGACC